TTCTGTCAACTTCTAAATTACCAAACCAATCAGCATCATCCCTATTATGTCCTCTAACATTGATAACTGCATTAATGTGTGAATTAATTGCCCAATGTGTCAACTGAAAAAGCTTGCTTCAAATATTGAAAAAATTGGTGCTTTCTCTAACCTCATTCTATGACTTACTTCTAATGTTGAACCTTTTTACCATATTAACAGGGGTGTTCCTGTCGCATATCCAAATTTATATATTGAATTTGGAAGCAATCAAGTTAAGCAAGTAATTGAGAATTTGGAAGAAATTTTTTCAATCAAAGATGTTTACAAGCATGTGGAAGTATGGCTTAAGGTACATGCCAACAACATCATTGCGATAATTGAGGAACAATTCCATGATACAGGCATTAATATTCATGCACTTACCCTCACAATAGAGGAGGACACTGGATATGGTGATGAGAGTATGACAGGTTTCTGGGCTGATTTACGAGATGACACAGAACTTCCTGATCTCTTAATGGACAGCTCATTTGGCAGGTTAGACATGGACTCTACTATGTTGTCTTTGGAGAAGGGAGAGTATTGTCAACAATTGCAAGACAGCAAAGAACAAATAAAGACACTGATGAATTTTTTATAACATAAACAGTTTATATTAGACACATTTATTTAAATGAATTATTTTCTTGTAATCATTGATCCACTTGAATAAAACTCTTGAGTCAAAGTCACTTATAATACTACTGTCAATGTCACAAAAGTGTTTTCTGTTTTCTGTTTCTGAGAAGGCATTTGAAGATACTAACTGGTTAACAATTTTGTCCAAATCCACAGTGGTCGTTTTAGTGATATGCTTTCCAGATCTTTTGATTATCCAAGACATATGGTCAAAATTCTCCATTAGTTTCTTGTTGGTGACCAATGCTTTTGAGTATCTATCTAGAATAGACTTGTTTCTAGCATTTGCACCAAGCTTCCTCATAACAAGTTTTATTGTGGTGCTCAAGTGCAAGATCAAGGGGAATATTACCACTTGGACCATTTCTGTTTTTTTCACTTCTATTCCAGATTAAAAGATGGGCATCCTTCTTTGACAAAAGTGCATTAACCTGACAAAGAAAGTTGAAACCCTCTAGAGCATACTTTTTACTTGATGATCCATCAGCCTTCAAAAATGGAAGAATGAACTTCCAAGTGCGAACAATCCTTGAGCCATCTCCCTCTGAAAATTTCTGAGAATCATCCCATACTCCATGAATGCACATTGGTAGTTTAACATATCATCATTTGCCTGTTCAGTTTTGCTTGAACAAGTTTCAGTGCTGGTTTCAGCCACAAACACCGCTTATAGACATATTTGCTACGATCTATTGGTACTTTGAATGGGAGATCATTGATTTCTTTTCTTATACAAAGCTTTCGCGTGCTACAATCACCTAAATTTCTATCCGTCAAATTTTCAAGTTTGAGGTTGCACAACACACAAACGTCGTCCGCCATTACAAATTTAATAGCGTTTGAAAAATCTCGTTCTCAAGCAGAGAACTGAACGCATAAATTGAATAATTATGGCATTAATTATCTCTTCGTCGAACAAGAGAATCGCCAGTAGCGCACAGACCACACACTTCACGGAAGTTTTTGGTCTGTGATGCAGGCTAAACATGATGGGGAAGGATATTAGCTTCCATATTTTCCTAAACAAGACAAAAAACAGTGAGAAATGGAAAAAGTGGGTTCAGGCCATGAAGAGAATAAACGCCGATGGAAGTGCCTGGTATCCAGGAAGCAACTATGTTTATGTATGCTCCGAACATTTTAAAACAAGTAAAAACTAAACTATATGAAATAAATTTGCAAACTAAAATTCAATATCTATCACATACTTTTCTCTAACGAAAGAATTTTACAAAATTGAATGTTTTCGTAAACTTTTAGGCCCATTTATTTTAGGCCGACCGTCAGCAGATCCAAGTCATCATGATTACGTTCCAAATGTTTTCCGGTTCAAAAAACATGATGAAGTTAAATGGAAGATGCAGCTGCAAAGATACGAGAGTGCAAAGAAAAGAGCAAAATATGAAAAGCCAGCTCAAGCAACCAATCCCGACTTAACAACGTCTTCAGTGGTCCATATTGAAGTGGAAGAACCGATTGAAAGGCCATTCAAAATTATTGAAAGTAATAATGTATCTGAAATGAATGAAGCGATGGAAATCGATTACTTGAGGAGAGAAAAAAATCATCTGCTTACCAAAATCAGTTGTATAGAGCAGCAGGTTGGTTGTATTAAAGATTTAATGACCACATTTCTTAATAAAGCTTTGGTGAAAAACTGTTCTCATCAGTTAAATTTTTGATCTTTCAAAAGATTTAAGTTACGACAGTTATATCTAAGTTACAGTAGTTAAAAGGTCAGCTGGGGATCAAACCTCTGAGCTTCTAAAAAGAAAGATCATTGCCTGTTTTTAAACAAAGGAAGGTAACAAGGGTTAGAGGGAGCAACTGATCCCCCTCTTGTTAGTATGATTAAAAAGCCTTTTTGATAAAAAAGGAAATCTGAGACCCCAATTAGATATTTTATTTTCTAAAATATTTTGCATATCAATGGATTTATTTGTTTGCCCACATATGCTTGCTATGACTTTATAAATTTGTCATATAGGTTCAATTAGGTTATTGTAATTCCAGTTATTGTAATTCAAGTAAGAGAAGATTAACTGTTATAGACAAATCTTGTTAGTTTAGACAAAATCCAACAAGTTCAAATGCCTGAATAAATTCAATTTTTTCAATAGTTAGATATTCAAGCAAAGATAAATGGCTCTAAAATGTAATTATCCATTTTTGTTTAATTTACTTTACTAACTTTATCAAATCTTTCCAGGTTCTATTATCAACATACAACCCAAATGTCATGAAGGACAATGATGATGCTGCAAAATATTTGACAGGACTGTCATGCAAAGTCTTTAACATCATTGCAGACACATTAATTCCGCATTTGTTTGTGTACAAACAAAGCAAACTGTCTCCTGAGAACCAGGTCCTTTTGGTTCTTGTGCAGCTAAGACTAAATCTACCATTTCAGTTTTTGAGTATGGAAACCAAGTTAGCACTCACCACCATCAATGGAATTTCCCATAAGATTATCGAGGTTTTGTATCAGAATCTCAAATTTTTAATACATTGGCCGAAAGAGAAAATTTGTTTTCAACTCTTCCTCCAGTTTTCAAGGCAAACTTTCCAAAATTTATCTCCATCATTCATTGAACGTCCAAAGAATCTTAAAGCAAGAGCCCAAGTTTACTACAACTACAAGAAACACAGCACTGTGAAGTTTCTTATCTGTTGCAATTCTCTTGGATCAATCACATTTCTCTCTCCTGCATAAGGTGGAAGAAGCACAGATAATGAAATTGTACGTGATTCTGGGTTTATTAGCCTAAATTACCACCATCCAAGAGACCAGATTTTGGCAGATAGGGGGTTTACCCTTGAAGATGATTTTGCTGCTGGCTGTAGTGCTGAGCTTATAATCCCAGCATTCACAAAAGGAAAAAAACAGTTGAGTGCAAAGGAGGTAGAGACAACAAGAAAAGTTGCCAATGTGCGCATCCATGTAGAGCGTGACATTGGTAATCTAAAAAAACGATTTGCAATTCTCTCCCAAGGATCTCTACCAATTTTTTTTAATCTGGTAAAAGGCAAATCTAATGAAGTCATGGATGCAACTTCAAACATTGAAAAATTAGTGACAGTATGTGCATGCTTAATAAATCTCATGCCAAGCATTGTATATAAGGAAGACAATGAAGAAGAAAGAGATTGACACCTAAAAACTGATTATTGTGGCTTGTACATCTATGAACACTTTTGAAAATCTAAGAAAAAAAGGTTGAAAATGTATCTTACATTGTATATAATGCTTTCTTTGTTTTTATTTGCAACATTTACAGTACCATACCCCTTTTGGTGCTCTTTTGAGCTTTATGCAGGTAAAGTGAAACCACTTTTATTTACATGAGGGATTATCACATCCTATCATTTCATCACCCTCGCATTCAGGCTGCTGACAGATGCAAAAAATTTCCGAATTGCTTTCCTGTGTTATTGATTTCTTCTGAGCATTCTCCAACTCAAGTTTTCTTGTCACCAATTCTGGTGCAATATGATATTTATGAAATTTTACCAATGTTTGTAAAGATTTGTCAAAGTCTTCATCATACTGAATGTCTGTAAAAAAACAAAACTGAGGATTCCAGACGGCAAAGTAGCATTTCTTTATTTCATAGACATTCATTTGCAGCTGCACTTGTGTCATATAGGGATGGTCTCCCTTAAAGTAAATCAACGGACATAAGTCGCCAGATTTAAAAATACAATGCAATTAAATTCAACTCAATCGTGCGCATTGATGCTTTCGTCAAAGTGATCACATGTGCGGCGCATCGTCTTGTTTCACACGCACCAGAGCTCGAGAAATATGGCTAGAAAACGACGGTATAGATCTATTGACGATATAGAAACCATCAATTTATCGGCAATTGGAAGCAGATTACTTGTATTTGGAAAAGAAAAGAAAGATGAAGAATCCTTCGTTATGCGAGCTAGAGCAGAGTAAGTACACAATTCTTTCCTTGGCTGGCCTAAGTTCTGGATTCCTGATAAGAATCTCTTTTTTGACAAACGCAGCTTCTAGCTGTTCATGTGAAAGTTGTAAAAACACTGCCTTTATAACATTTTAACTTGTGGTTACTAATGTCTTTTTGTCAAAAAGTTTAGTACACGTTTTACAATAGGCAATGACCATTTTCTGGCAGCAGTTTTCAGGCCGAGGTGACTCTTGTCATAACCTGCACTTTGAGGTTAACGCAAGAGAGAAACTATCACTTCGCAAACATAACATAGCATGCAAGCATCATACAGCGAATAGTAATCTTTCATAATACAATAGGCTTGCTAAATAGAGTATTTGCTCCATAGGGAGTCCATAGCGTAAAACTATTTACAAGGACATGACAACTCTCAACAGATCCCTCATGGAATTATCACTGGATACGGATGAGCCTATCACAAAATGCACTTGCAAAGGGATGTGCAAAAGGGGTTGTCCATGTGCAAAAGGAAGCAGCAAATGTGGATCACTTTGCAAATGTAAAAGAAATAAGTGTGCCAACCAAAAGGAGGAGGTATGCATTTGCATTTGCAGATACAATTTAACAATTTTCTTTAATGACAGTATATGTGTACAGCACAGTTCTAAAACAATAGTATTTAAGAAAATACATATAACATAAGGCATTTTTGTAAATATTTTTCATTTTCACAGTTTCAACATTATAACATTGAAGTTCCATATGTAAATTAAAGGTTACTGGAAATACATGAAAATAATTAAAAATATAAAATATGATTGATTTCCTTACTGAAATAAATAGCTGCTTGTTACTAATGTTTTCCTGTTACTTAAGTTTAATATTACTTTCCAAAATTTGAAAGGATACAAAAAGGATGCGCAATTATGGGTAGGAAAAAGTGGGCAAAAGACCCAAGCAACTTCAACAGTCTTTGAATGCATGAAAGTCTTTGTTTAAAAATTGTTTTGTTTAAGAAAAGTGGTTGAACTGGAAATGAATTTGTCAGTACCGCATTACTATAAAAAGAAAGCTAAGTCTTGATCTCAAAATATGTGTAGTTCATGTTTCACCTGCAAATGACTGTGAACCCTCTTTTTCTTAGGCAGCTGTTAGTGAAACAGACTTCAAGTCTTGCAGTTATAGTGATGGAAGCCTCTCTGATTTTCAAAGTCTACCTTCATCTGAGGTGATGGTCATTTATTTCCTTAAGTTCTGAACAGTTGTTTTCCTTATCTTGATATCAATTTGTTTGAAATACTATAGGCTGGTTCCTCTGAAATTTAATCATTATATACTGTTGAAGGATTATATAAATTTCAAAGGCAGATTCAATTTTATTATATTCTTCATTTTTGTGTAATGAAGAATAGTCACCTAATGTTTTCTAGAAAATTGATTTGTTTCTTTTTAAAAAAGGAAAAAAAATTTGAGAAAATTTTCATTACTTTTCTTATTTTTTGCAGCAATCTGACAGCAGTTTGACGGGACATTTGCAATGTCATTGTACCAGCAAATGTAAGCGAGGCTGTCCACGCCGCAATGCTGGAGTTTACTGCCAAGATTTCAAATGCAGCTGTTCTTCAGAAAAATGAGAGCAACGAAAAGAAACAAAGAAAACATTCAAAATAAAGGAAAAGAGAAAAGATATAAGGGCAATACCAGAATGCCAGAAAATGAGAGCCAACAATGCCTATCAGCAAGCTAAGGTGAGCCAATGAGAGCCAATTATTCAGTGTCAAAAATCCTTTAGCAACAATACTGTTTCGCAAATCCTTTACTTACAACAAATGATAAATATATGTATAATATACATTTTACAACAAATGATAGAAGTATCATTATACATAAATACTGTACATGAAATGTGTAAAAGTTATCTCCTTCAACACACACTCAATGCAACACTACTTTAGGTATTTTTGAAAGAAGTGTAAAAATTGAAAGCAGAGCTGCCTCTTCTCATGAACTTATGTCAGCAGTTTCAAAGATATAGTCAACATGAAACTTTTAATGGTTTCCTTTTTATAGGAAGTTTGTAATAACCTGGATAAAGGCAAAATTACAGAACTTTTGGCAGGTATGGCAAAATATGCTCCTACACTTTGGAGTATCTTTGTTAAGAAGGCCCCTACCACCAGCGGAGAAGAAATACATGAAGAAATGGAAGGAAGTATAGATCCACCTGTGTGGTGTGAATGTGGCAAGTGTCGTGTGATGAAAAAAGAAGAAGAGTGCGTCTGTTGCAAGAATTGCTTAAAAAACCATGAGCATCCATTGTTCGAAAATCTTGTTGGGGATACAAGAAACGCCACCCATTGTATTTTCTTTTGTCTGTTTGCCAATGTTGAGGTCCAATCAGCGAGCGTGCATTTTATGAGTCTGCGCAGTTTGGACGATCGATTCTAGGAAAGTCACTCGCTATGATGAAACCGAAGGTGCGACAAATGTTTTTAGTTCTTCTTAGCCCGCGGTGTAGTTTAGTGATTTTGTTTCTTGGAAGGTCCTGGAAGGTCTTGATTGGATTGCTGGGAAAGGTTTAGACGAAGTGGTTGACCTTGAGGAGTGAGGAAACAGCACACAGTGCTTGCCGCTGCAGCGTGCTTGAAAGTTAGTACTTGCTTCCTCTTAGGCCAATTCACTTCTAGTCAGGTTATCTAGTTCAAACTTTCGGTCTAGCACCTATGGAATTGTCATGGCGGGGTTTCGAGTGCAGGACTATTATATTTTTTTCTCAAAAAGTAATTCAAATGGAAGGCACTGCCAGAAGGAAGACTGCATTTTCAAGAGAAATGATTCCAGTCACTACCATTGTAAATTTTGTGATTTTACTAAGAATGGTTATTCAAAGAAGAGGATGGCCAACCATATTCAATTGAAGCACCCCAGTGAAATCACTTTAAGTTTATCTAATTCGAAACTTGAAAAAACACCTATTTTAAGCGAATGCAGTGGCGGCCTCTTTGATGCTCAGTTAAGTGACGTTGAACCCCCTTGTCCTGCCTCGGAATTTCCTCCCAGTCCCCTTAAGTCACTGATTGTTAAAAAAAGCAAAATGTCAACACCAATTTCAGCCAAGCCAGGTCAAGTACAACTTGCCTCTCCGTCTTTATCACCACTTCCACATAAAAGCTTCACCGTCTCAAGAATAGAACTTTCGTCAAAATCTTCTTGCGAGCCACAATCCACGAGGAGAATTGTTTGTGTAGTCTCAGCTTGTAGTGAAAGCGAAAATTTAAGATCTTTAACAAGGAAAGTAGCTAGAGGGAGGGGTGATTCAATAGACAGAGAAAACACTATGCTCCTTTTAACTTATCACAGACTGGACAAAGTTGAGAATCTGGTAAATGAAGTTAAATGTTATGACCATTGGAGGGAATGGTATGATTATAATACCAAAATAAAACGTCTTTTAAAACCCTTTCTTGAGCAGTCACCCAGAAAGACCCTCTTTGCAGATGCAGATGCTGGGAACTTGAATCTCTACACAAACAATTTTTCTCAACATCTTTGATTCAGATGATTGTGCTTTCAACATTTTCAAGAGACTAAACTTTTTCGAGTTAAAAAATTTGGCCTTATCATGCAAGTTTTTCAATAAGAAAGTTAAAGATTACTTGGGAAGTGACGAGAAAATCTGGCAGAGATTGATGACAGGTTTTTTTGTGGATAGAGCTTTTGTAGATAAAGCGCCAGTGGAAGCTTTCAAAGTTATGTTCAACTACATTTTCAGAATGAGGGATAGGCACATAAATAATGAGAATGTAAACCTAACTTCCATTTTTGACATTATTTCAAACGAGCAGCAAAATTCTCTTGGCAGTAACAGCGAACTAAAATCTATCCTTTCTTTTTTTGGTGTGATGAGAAAGCCTACATCCATGGAGATTGTTGTCTATGTTGATAAGCTACATATAGTTGCATATAGTTGTTTTGTTCCATTGCTAAAGTCGAAGTTAGTTGTTATGTTGCTGTGCCGAATATACTCAAGCCATTGTTGTTGTTTTGTTGACGTTGTGAGATTTATACTTGGTAATTTTGTTGATATGCTACATATAGTTGTTTTGTTCCAGTGCTGAAGTTGAATTTAGTTGTTATGTTGCTGTGCTGAATATACTCAAGCCATTGTTGTTGTTTTGTTGAAGTTGTGAGATTTATACTTGATAATTTTGTTGATAAGTTACATATAGTTGCATATAGTTGTTTTGTTTCATTGCTGAAGTTGAATTTAGTTGTTATGTTGCTGTGCTACATATACTCAAGCCATGTTGTTGTTTTGTTGAAGTTGTGAGATTTATACTTGATAATTTTGTTGATAAGTTACATATAGTTGCATATAGTTGTTTTGTTCCATTGCTGAAGTTGAATTTAAATGTTAGGTTGCTGTGCTGAATATACTCAAGCCATTGTTGTTGTTTTGTTGACGTTGTGAGATTTATACTTGGTAATTTTATTGATAAGCTACATATAGTTGCATATAGTTGTTTTGTTCCATTGCTAAAGTCGAATTTAGTTGTTATGTTGCTGTGCTGAATATACTCAAGCCATTGTTGTTGTTTTGTTGACGTTGTGAGATTTATACTTGGTAATTTTGTTGATATGCTACATATAGTTGTTTTGTTCCATTGCTGAAGTTGAATTTAAATGTTAGGTTGCTGTGCTGAATATACTCAAGCCATTGTTGTTGTTTTGTTGACGTTGTGAGATTTATACTTGGTAATTTTATTGATAAGCTACATATAGTTGCATATAGTTGTTTTGTTCCATTGCTAAAGTCGAATTTAGTTGTTATGTTGCTGTGCTGAATATACTCAAGCCATTGTTGTTGTTTTGTTGACGTTGTGAGATTTATACATGATAATTTTGTTGATAAGTTACATATAGTTGCATATAGTTGTTTTGTTCCATTGCTGAAGTTGAATTTAAATGTTAGGTTGCTGTGCTACATATACTCAATCCATTGTTGTTGTTTTGTTGAAGTTGTGAGATTTATACTTGATCATTTTATTGATAAGCTAAATATTGTTGCATAATTATAGTTGTTTTGTTCCATTGCTGAAGTTGAATTTAATTGTTAGGTTGCTGTGCTGAATATACTCGAGCCATTGTTGTTGTTTTGTTGACGTTGTGAGATTTATACTTGGTAATTTTGTTGATATGCTACATATAGTTGTTTTGTTCCATTGCTGAAGTTGAATTTAATTGTTAGGTTGCTGTGCTGAATATACTCAAGCCATTGTTGTTGTTTTGTTGACGTTGTGAGATTTATACTTGGTAATTTTATTGATAAGCTACATATAGTTGCATATAGTTGTTTTGTTCCATTGCTAAAGTCGAATTTAGTTGTTAGGTTGCTGTGCTACATATACTCAAGCCATTGTTGTTGTTTTGTTGAAGTTGTGAGATTTATACTTGATAATTTTGTTGATATGCTACATATAGCTGCATATAGTTGTTTTGTTACATTGCTGAAGTTGAATTTAATTGTTAGGTTGCTGTGCTACATATACTCAAGCCATTGTTGTTGTTTTGTTGAAGTTGTGAGATTTATACTTGATAATTTTGTTGATATGCTACATATAGCTGCATATAGTTGTTTTGTTACATTGCTGAAGTTGAATTTAATTGTTAGGTTGCTGTGCTACATATACTCAAGCCATTGTTGTTGTTTTGTTGAAGTTGTGAGATTTATACATGATAATTTTGTTGATAAGTTACATATAGTTGCATATAGTTGTTTTGTTCCATTGCTGAAGTTGAATTTAAATGTTAGGTTGCTGTGCTACATATACTCAATCCATTGTTGTTGTTTTGTTGAAGTTGTGAGATTTATACTTGATCATTTTATTGATAAGCTAAATATTGTTGCATAATTATAGTTGTTTTGTTCCATTGCTAAAGTCGAATTTAGTTGTTATGTTGCTGTGCTACATATACTCAAGCCATTGTTGTTGTTTTGTTGAAGTTGTGAGATTTATACTTGATAATTTTGTTGATATGCTACATATAGCTGCATATAGTTGTTTTGTTACATTGCTGAAGTTGAATTTAATTGTTAGGTTGCTGTGCTACATATACTCAAGCCATTGTTGTTGTTTTGTTGAAGTTGTGAGATTTATACTTGATAATTTTGTTGATAAGCTACATATAGTTGCATATAGTTGTTTTGTTCCATTGCTGAAGTTGAATTTAGTTGTAATGTTGCTGTGCTGAATATACTCAATCCATTGTTGTTGTTTTGTTGAAGTTGTGAGATTTATACTTGATAATTTTATTGATAAGCTACATATAGTTGCATAATTATAGTTGTTTTGTTCCATTGCTAAAGTCGAACTTAGTTGTAATGTTGCTGTGCTGAATATACTCAATCCATTGTTGTTGTTTTGTTGAAGTTGTGAGATTTATACTTGATAATTTTATTGATAAGCTACATATAGTTGCATATAGTTGTTTTGTTCCATTGCTGAAGTTGAATTTGATGGTTATGTTGCTGTGCTACATATACTCAATCCATTGTTGTTGTTTTGTTGAAGTTGTGAGATTTATACTTGATCATTTTATTGATAAGTTACATATAGTTGCATATAGTTGTTTTGTTCCATTGCTAAAGTCGAATTTAGTTGTTATGTTGCTGTGCTGAATATACTCAAGCCATTGTTGTTGTTTTGTTGAAGTTGTGAGATTTATACTTGATAATTTTGTTGATAAGCTATATATAGTTGCATATACACTCATTTTTTTATAAGAAACAAAGGTTGATGTTGAGTACTTCAGTTTCTTAATGGTTTGGAAATTTCAATACTCATTGTTTCTTAAGAGTTTCTTAATTATGATGTCATGAATGTTGTATGAAATGTTTGTGACCTTTTTATCACGTCAAGAGATTCGCTTCCGCTCCGATGCTGTATTTAGAAGTGGGAAGTATATTTTTATCCCTTAAGTTCTAGGACAACAGGGCAATCTTGTTCTTAGATTTTAAAAATTTGGTTGTTCTTAGTTTTATCACGATTTAATAGTTTCTTAATTTTTTTGCTTCGAGTCCTGAAGCTTCTTAATTTTTTCTCTCTGTCCAGTACTCGTTTGTTATAGTGTAGTTGTTTTGTTCCATTGCTGAAGTTGAATTTGAATGGATTTTTACTTTAATAACTGTCTAAATTATCAAAATTTAATTTCTTGACTTTAGATTGGTAGCAGTGTTGAGTAATTACTTTTATGTTCTGGATTATACATGATTTCATTTTGGTAACATATAATATTGGTAACATAGGTCTTAATTTGGTCATAACATCTGTAATCTCGTAATTAAAGAACAAAGTTATTCTTTTCTATAATCATAATGCAATAGTGGATTGCTAAATTAACTATAAATAATCAACTCCTTGAAGAAAATTTAAGCTCACCTTTCACTTTTACTGGTTTCGTCCACGCCACAGCAAGAAAATCGAGAGACACCATGAAAGTAAAAAACGACAACATCCCCTCCGCGATAACCGTACTATTAAATGCGCATGCTCATAAAATGCATGGTGGAACCGAGGCTTCAACATTGGCATCTTGTATCCCCAACAAAATCATGTTCTGACTGAACACAACTTAGAACTGGCTATGCAAAACAATGCTGACTTTCTTAATTATCCCTTTGACCCATCAAATAATGGATGTTGGTGATACACAGCATATCGGCAGTTCATTTTATGGTTTTGGGGAAAACTTGGCAGAAGAAATCGAAAAGTTATACCTTCATGCATTGTCTGGAAAATCAGAGATAGATTCCCTCATCCTAATGGGAACTACATAGGCTTCATGGATGTTGGTTATTATACATAGTCATTTCCTAGAATCATTGGTAAATTTACTTAAATAAAAATTTGTCAGGTATTTTTGAAAAAATGAGCGTGTTGAAGTTTTGTAACCATTCCATTTTATAACAAAGCAAGCTGTCCATAAGCACTTTAAACAATACTCAAGCTATGTTTACACAACTTCTCAACTCTCAAACTTCATGTCCATTCTTTTCACATGTCTTGCTAAAAGCTCTGCAGTTGGTGGTGGTGGTACTGAAACGACATTTTCTGTTAGGAGTTTAGTGGTTGCACGCGCTACTTGTCGTACTTGTGTGCTTTGTATGTGCATGTGTCTTCTCCATAAGATTTTTGCCTGTAAATCTGAATGGAGGCATTGAAAAAATTAACATGCCAGTAATTCCATTCTTAAAAATTATTGACAGCGTTTTTAGATTAATAATAGTTGTGTTTCAAGAAGATCATAATTCCACATGACTTATGAATTTATATCAATTTTAAGAATGCTTGAAAACATGTTAAAGTCGTTAAATTTTTAGGAAAGTTTTCAAGTTCATCCACAAAAGAACAGTTCTGAAGCAGTTATACTCATATTTCAATGTGAAAATCATTCTTTTTCCAGTTGCTTGTGAAGACTGTGATCTTCTTTAATATCTAGAGAGGAAAATTAGGACATGAGGATAGATACCTCCGATATAGTTGTACTCCTTTGGAATCAGAACTGGGACACAGTGCCATGTTTTTGTCCTCTTGCCCCATTTTCTAACAAAAACAAGATCACCGGATTTGGTTGTCATTTGTGCACGTCCAAGGTGTTTATTGTGGTCTATAAATTCCAGTTGGCTGCGTTTTGTGAAAGCATCATGCTTCTATCCAATTATTTTGGGGCAGTATTCCAGTGTTAAGCTGTTGAAAACCTTGAATGTAAAAAACAAGCTTTAAAGAATCATGTTCCTGTGAAAAAATAATTGTATAATCAGACAGCAGATATAGTCATTAGTTTAGATTATTTACATCAAGTTGCAGAATTAATTTTTTGCGAATTTGCAGCATTTTAAGTAGATTTTTTAAAAATTATGTAACCCCTTTTTTGCAAAACAGCCCATTGCTGTGATAATTAATGTTATTAAACAAAACATTACTTCTATCATTCCTGTATGACGGTTTCTTGTATAATGGGCTAGAGACTTCATCCATGCAAGGTCCAACACTATCTGTCTCAGCTCCTCCATTGTACCACTATTTGAAGACAGAAATATTTTTTCTTGGTCTTCATCTAAAATCGGCTCATGTGTGCAGAAATCGTGGTCATCACAAATGTGATGCAGCAAACGAGCCCATAGAATCCTAAATTTGAATTCATCTCCGTCACACATTGAGCAGCAAAACCAAAAGTGGTTACGGATAGAAGGAATCCAGGTGGCCAGTGCTTTATGTTTATTTTTCTTTGCCAGCTACAATTGATGTATATGTTAATATTATTCAATTCTACATAGTGAATTGGTACATTTTGCTCCTCAAAAAGGCATAATCTGTTTTAAACTGCTTATTCATTACAATTTCAGAAGTAAATGTTTTCTGTCTTTAATAAAATATGGTTTGCATCAGGTTGCTCTCTAAATGTATACTAGGGTTGGGTAGCATAATGTACTATAGGTCTAAAAGTAATTTAGGGTCCATCAGTGACATGTAAGGGATTTTTTCAAGTATCATTTCCATGTACGTAGAGAAGAAATACTCCAAATAGCAATGCACCACAAGCATATTTTCCTTATCACAGCCCTAAATTTACAAAACATTTTAAACTTACAATCAGATAGAATCAGTCTTTAGATATCCCAACTAACTAAAATAGCTTCTAAATAAAAGGAAAGGAATGAATGAATACTTTTGTGAGCTTTGTGGTTAGCTTTGATGCCTTATGCCATACATCAAGACTATGGTGAATTTCAGAGAATGAAGGATAGCTCTCTACAAAATAAACCATTTATGCATTACAGATAGTAAAACAATATATATCTGTTATAAAACAAAATAACTGAACATATTTAATCATTATTTTTGCAGCAAGATACTTACAGTTGAAATTAAAGGTTTCCAATTTTACAAGTAAAGTAACAAGCTTTGTAAACTTTTTCTTCAAACTCACTCATTATTTTTGATATGGTGGCATGTGCATCGGTGCATATTTCTTTTACTTTCCCATCTGTATTGTCTATCACCCATTGCACTGATTTCATGAATAGGTGAACCTCAAGGCGAGTAGACTTTTGATTGACCTGTTGAAAAGAGCAAATTTGGGTCTTCAGATGTAAGTTTTGAAGAAGAATTCATTTCTTGTTCATCTTTTGTACTTCCAGTTGACAACTCTAATGACAAATTTACTCTTTAATATCAGGGAAAAATAAAAATTAATAAAAGGATAATGAAATTAAATGTATTACATTCATTTACAGATCAGCAGGCCATTTGAAGCTCAGTAAAGCATGATATTTAATGCAATCTTGCTGCCAAGCAAGAATATTGTGTTGAAACCAATTGCCTCTATCTGTTATTTGCTAGGCATGCAAAGTCCAACCCTTTATAAACTCATTAAGCTTCAAGAATTAATTTATTCAAAAATGCCCATTTTCCAAACTGTTGCTCAGTATGGAGCAGAATGTAGAATCAAGTTTCAGAAATGGTTTCAGCATTGGACGATTTCGGACTTCAGAAGCTCACGGAATGCTTAAACGAAATCTATGATACTGGAGAAATCCCAGAGGAATTAAGCAAATCGATCTTTATCGCTCTCCCAAAGAAAGCAGGGGCAATAGAATGTGAGCTTCACAGAACCATTAGCCTAATGAGTGATATCATCAAGATTTTGCTCAGGATAATTATGTTAAGAGCAAGAAGTAGAATTATGCCTGAGATTTGAGAGGAACAATGTGGTTTTGTCCAGGACGCAGGCACAAGGAACGCAAGTTTCATGCTACGTACGATGTCAGAGAGAGCCATAGAAATGCAAAAAGACCTGTATATTTGTTTCATCGACTACACAAAGGCTTTCTATAAAGTAAAACATGAAGAACTTCTGAAATTGCTAGAAAGTTTTGATCTATTTGGGAAAGACATACGAATTCTAAGAAACTTGTATTGGGAACAAACAGCATGTATAAGAATTGGAAACGATAGAAGTAACTTTACCAAAATCCAGAGAGGAGTTCGCCAAGGATGCGTTTTCTCCCCAGATCTTTTTAATATCTACAGCGAGATGATCTTAAGGGAGATAGAAGGCATGGAAGGCTTCATCATTGGTGGGCATAATCTCAATAACTTGAGGTACGCCGATGACACGGTCTTAATAGCCCAATCTGAAGAAAAGCTACAAAATCTTCTGACTAAGGTAGTAGAAGAAAGTAAGAAAAAAGGTTTAACCATCAATTGTAAAAAGACAGAATGTATGGTAATTAGGAAGCAATCTGACCAGCTATGCAGACTAAAAATAGAGGACACTGAAATAAAGCAAGTAAAGTGATTCAATTACCTAGGTAGCCTAATAACAGACGATGGAAAATGCGACTCCAAGATCAAGCGCAGAATTGGGATGTCTAAGCAAGCTTTTCAGAAGTTAAAGAGAGTGTTGAAAGATAGAAATGTCGTTGGGAACTAGGAAAAGGATTCTACGCTGCTATGTTTATTCCATCTTAACATATGGCAGCGAATGCTGGACAATTTCAGCCGGTATGGAGAGCAGGATCGAAGCCGTTGAGATGTGGTTCCTCAGAAGGATGTTGAGAATATCATGGGTAGACCATATATCAAATGAAGAAGTATTGAAAAGAGCCGGAGAAGAAAGAAAGCTAAATATAATGATTAGAAAGAGACAGGCCGAATTCATTGGGAATATCATGAGAAAAGAAGGTTTAGAAGAGATTATTATCACAGGCAAGATAGAAGGAAAGAGAGGAAGGGGAAGACCTCGGCTGAACTACCTGGCAAGTCTCAGCAAGTGGATGCAAGATCAAGTTCCCGAGGAACAGCAAGGAAGGTATAAGGTCCAGAGTCTGATAAGAACCTGTAAGGACAGAAAGTTGTGGAAATCCATGGTCGCCTACGTCCACAAGGGACTAGGTACTTAGATATATAGATAGATATCTAAAACAAATTAAATAGCTATTCAAATAAAATAAGATGTATCCATAAACATTATATTACAAAGATAGGCAACCATTGAATCATTGAATAAATATTCTAATTCTAGTTAAATTCAGAACAATGTAATTTTTTTTGTGAATTCTACATTTAAATCATATTACACAAAAACAGAAAGAAAATGGTCAGGTAGCCGTGTTAAATTAAGTATTTTAGCAGCATCCAGAGGGGTCAGTCTGCAAACAAAGCAAACTTTTTGCAGTAATTTACCACCTGAGTCGCTAGGCCCAGTAGCAGCAGCACAAAAAGAACCCCTATATAAAATTTATGAGCAGTACCTTAGAGTCTGACCCTCTCTCTTTCAGCAAGGTTCAGTCAGCAAAATGAAATAATTTATTTGCCACAATAAATGTCGAAGGTTGTGTGTCAGGATCTGCTTCTGGCGCCTAGGCACTCCCAGCAGACTTGTAAAGGCCAGTTTACACGATCATATTCAGGTCACATTTGCATACCATATTTTATGTGATCACAGAATTTGATCGTGTAAACGACCTTCCAAGTTGCTTGAAGTTGTACGAAGTAGCAAGAATTAATCCTTTTTAATTGCCTGTTAATTCGCTATCACAGATTTTTCATTTGACCAGCGATCAAATGGAAATGTCTGTGATGCAATTTTTTCAAAGGCACTGACAAGTCTTTGCTGTCCTGGGTAGATCAGGAACTGTTTGGCGCGCATTTTATCAGTGATCTGCCTTCATTCAATTTTTACGTTTCATTTGTTGTCAATGGAAGTCAAGAGCGAGGAAGATAAAAGAGCTGTAGCAGCTATTTTATTAGCCTGCGCAGTGATGGAAACAAAAATAAAAAAAAGACGGAAAAGAAGTTGTTGGACAAAGCCCTGGCTACGCAGGCACGACGAAATGGGCATATATAATGGCGTGGTTTGCGAACTTACGTAAGCAGATAGGGGCGACTACAGGAGATTTCTAAGGATGAACACAGAGACATTCGAGGTTAGTCTGCTTCCGTTCATATGAACGAAATATATTAAAAGAGCATGAGCTTATTTTATATGCAATGGCGTTAAAGAAATTACAAAATAAACTGTTTGTTTTCCGGAACTTCTGAGTAAAGTGAAGCCATTCATCGAGAAGAATACAACGATCATGAGAATGCCCATCAAGGCAGACGAAAAGCTTGCAGTAACACTACGCTTCTTAGCAACTGAAGAGAGTTTCGAAAGTTTGCAGTACCAGTTCCGCATCAACAAGTCTACAATCTGCAAATTTGTACCTTGTGTTTGCGAGGCTATATACAAGACACTAAAAGGGGAATATTTCAATTTCCCCGCATCACAGGAGGAGTGGCTTGACTTAGCAAAAGATGCTGAAGAAAGGTGGCAGTTTCCGAACTCTTTTGCTGATGCAGATGGAAAACACATTTCCATCTATCACCCACATTGTTCGGGGGCAACATTTTATAACTATAAAGGGTTTTATAGCATCGTACTGCTTGCCTTCGTAGATTATAATTACCGATACATTTTTGCTGATGTTGGGTTAGGGTTGTTGGATGTTGGGTATCCAAGGAAGGATTAGCGATGGTGGTGTGTATAGGAATTCATCTCTGTTTTCCTTGATTTCACAAAATGCTTTAAATCTACCGCCTCCTAGGCCACTTCCAAAATCCAAGGATTCGTCTTGGACCCCATTTGAAAGTAATGAAGAAGTGCCTTTTGTGTTTGTCGCTGACGATGCATTCCCTTTGAGTAATATCTGCCTGAAGCCTTACCCGGAAAATGGTTTAACAGATAGGAAGAGGGTATTCAACTACCGGCTTTCAAGATTCCGTCGTCTTACAGAGAATGCATTTGGAATACTAACAAGCGTTTTTCGAATATTCTCCACGAAAATAAATATGCACCCGGATAGAGCTACAATGCCTGCCAAAAGTCTTGGAACACTGACATCAATTTCCAAGGTCAAAACCAATCATCCCCCTCTCCCCCACGGAACAATGTTGGTTTACCATCAAACGGATTAGGATTTTAGGAAGCACTTTCTTTTGCGCTTCATTTATGATATTTCTCTAAATCATCAACATTGTTTGAGGGGGAAGGGGGCGGAAGTAGCAAATTTTTTTCATGAAAGGAATGAAAGATATCAAATGCAGCGTAAATTGGTGGGTGTTCCAAGTACTTTTGGCAGGCATTGTCTGAATTTCATTTTGAAGCTTATTAGATATACCACCAAAACCAATATCCTCCTATAGGTTTTTGATGGTGCTGATTCCATTTCTGCCATTTTCAACATCGTACGTGTTACCGATAAGGAGATATGGGGGTATTGTCTTTTTTCGGGGGTGGGGGTAAGCTACCCCCATAAAACTAAATGCCATATTTCAATTAAGGTTAAAATTGCTAAAATCAAAATCGATTTCCAATAAATAGGATCAAGATTGTATTTTGAATCTTTTCAAAGGCTCGTAGCTAGATGGCTGTCTAAGAAATAATGGGATAGATGAAGGAGACAAATATGAGTGGCAGCTAGAAAATAATCTAAAAATGGAAAGGATGCAATTTTATAAAAGTGACATCGATTCCTCTGTTTCATGTTTCTAATTATAGATAAGGTCGTATTTGAGAATTATGTCGGGTAGTTGCTCTCCTTTTATCACGGATTTACAAGTTGTCATTCATATAGGCCCTTGTTGTGCAATTCAGTGCCCAAATGACAAATTTCAGAGTGTTTACCTAAATTGTAGAAAGGAACCCCGTGTTTCCCACATCAGAGTTCCCAACTGATTGATCTACTATTCCATGTTGGTTGGTAAGGGAACTGAAATAAAACTGACATCCACTCGCCTTCCTGCGCTCCTAAATGCTTGGCCCAGAAGCACTACAAAGAAAGCCCTCTTCCCTACTGTTACTGCATTGCCAAAATGGCCTTTAAGTTAGACTCTACCTGCTATATTTATCTTCATAAAGCGCAAGGCAGATTATTTCATCGTTAATTGATTGCTGTATATGTTTGCTTGACATTTGCCATAACAAAATATCTTATTTCATCGAATGTAGCGCGCGTCGATGTGAAGGACAAGGCCCCGCAAGGCAACTCTCACCCTCGGAAATGAACGCTTGTAGACCGTTGTGTAGACCGTGGCTGTTTCTTTGCAATTTTCTGACTTGTCAGGGGGAGGTTTGCCCCCAAAATCACCCAAAAGGTGTATAATAATACCCCTCAAAGATAAAATTAACCTTTGTATGAATTCCATGAAGAAAACGGCAAAATATGACGAAAATCCCACGGTCTACACTCAAAAGGAGAATAAGATCTAGAGTACTTCAAATTCAATTCTCAGAAAGTGTAGACCGTTGACACTTTCCTGAATTTCTTCAGTTTTACAACTTGTATCGATCTGAAAACCTACAATATTTTTTATACTAGCCATGCACACCTACTGACGAGGTTTCGTCTACTTTCTTTGAAAAATACGATTTTTATGAACATTTTAAATGTGTAGACCGTGGCTGTAGACCGTTGGTAACCATTGGCAATAGGCATTTTCATACTACATCACGTGCCCATTAGGAAAGGAGCGTTCTTTCAATTCCTAGCATACTTTAACAATGGAAAACGAACAATTATAATTGGCACAAACCATTTTCCAATTATTGGGACAAGGGAAGATAGAAAATAATAGGGAATGGGGTGTCTATGAGCGCTACCATGTTGCCACATGTGAATGCGAAGGAGCATAGCCTAAGCAAATTTATTAAATTCGTAGATGGTTTTGGGAGGGTTATGGTGGATAAAATTGAGCCATTTGAACAGTTTCTCACCAGCATGTTGTTCGCAATTATTTAGATCATGTATGGTTTGTAGACATTCTCATGAATTTTTTTGTTTTTTCATCAATAATTAAACCATAAATAAGGGGACTTTTCAGAAAAAAACACTTTTTCAAAGGTACTAAACTGTACTGTTTTTCCTTTGAAAATTGATAAATTTCTTAAACCGATGATCGAATTCTGCACAAAATACTTGTTTTCAATAATGATTTAAATGATATTGACGGAAAAAATCAGTAGAATGTTTTTTGTAACAAATAACAATACTCGGATATCTACTATATCAATCGTTCAGAGTCCCAACCCCCTCCCCCCCTTTTAACTGTGTAAAGAGTGAAAATTTCGAATTTTAATTAGTAGCAGTGAGATCAGCACCATCGAAAACCCTAGGGTAGCACAATGTTTTGATATCGCAGATTGCTGTTTTCGAGAAAATTTTCAGACAATGCCTGCCAAAAGTCTTGGAACACTGACATCAATTTCCAAGGTCAAAACCAATCATCCCCCTCTCCCCCACGGAACAATGTTGGTTTACTATCAAACGGATTAGGATTTTAGGAAGCACTTTCTTTTGCGCTTCTTTATGATATTTCTCTAAATCATCAACATTGTTTGAGGGGGAAGGGGGCGGAAGTAGCAAATTTTTTTCATGAAAGGAATGAAAGATATCAAATGCAGCGTAAATTGGTGGGTGTTCCAAGTACTTTTGGCAGGCATTGTACTTCCGTCATATTAGCATCACTGGTCCTTCATAATATGCTGAGAACAAAATCATCTGATTCATACACACCAAAGGGATTTGCTGATGAAATTCAAGGCGATATGGTAGTCGATGGGCAATGGAGATCTGAGAATTCGGATACAAACATGCAACCACTTATGCCAAGAAGACATGGAAACAATAATGCAAAGGCAGCTGCAGAATTGCGTGATATTTTTGCTGATCATTTTGATGGACCTGGGCAAGTGCCTTGGCAATGGAATCACATCATGGCAAAAAAGTAAAAAATAATATTAAAATGGAACAATAAATTTTGATAGAAACATTTCATCAGTACGTTTATGGAACTGCTTTACCTTATTTATAAAAGTTAATTATTGCAAAAATATATTTAGCAACAGAAGGATATTAGTTTTAAGTTTCATCTTCAGTTAATTTTGCAATTTGATACTAATGTTTTAAATCACACTCAAAGTTCCTTGAATCGTTCGTCTTCAGCGCCGCTTCTGCTGGAACTGTTGTATGACCCAGTTGAAATATGGGGTGATGGACAGTGAAAAGTGGGCTGATTTGGTTCTTGGCCTAACATGTCATGGAATGCCGACCCTGGCTGGACCCCGGAGTTTCTGTAGTAGCTTGGCTGCATGCCTCTGTTTTGGCTCATATACTTCGTCTCGTACATAAGCCGTTGCAGCTCCATTTTCAAAAAATCCTGTTTGCCCATCTTGTATTGTTTCCAGCATACCACCTAACATTTCTGCAAACACTCTGTCAGCAGACTTTGCCACCTCCTGTTGTTTGGGGATTTCTTTTGGCCTATCCAAAACATTGATGGCTCTTTCAATCAGCTGGTTTACTTGGGAATCTGCTTGTTAAGCAGTTTTCGCAGATGGCTTCGCCCCAATACTGTACGCAAATTTACCGCCCTCGTCATCACTCTAAGACCTTGTTTGCTTTCCAACATTTGAAATTGTGGCTCTTGGCGTAACATTGTCAGACAAAAAAAGAGCCTGTCAAAAAATTGCCACCTACTTCTATAGATATCAGCAGTTCCAGCTCCGATTACTTTTGTCGGTTCAATTTTATTTTTTTCAGCGACGTAATACGTTCTTAACGCATTCAGCTTTCGCTGAACCTCTTCATAAGTTGGTAGTGGTGTTACCGTTTGATCGTCTAAAGACGCGATGATTGCATTGATGCAGTATCTCCGTTTTTCTTTTACACGGTAGTTGGGATGACTGGCATCAAATAACAATGTCTGATTTTGCCACAGGTCAATTACCAACTCTACAATTTCGTCTTTCCATTCGAATTTCTTAATTTTTTTTTTGCTTTGGTACGATTTGCCGGTAGCTGATTTAATGGCCTGAAATGAGAATGCTGGCTCTTTGTAGTCTTCTGATTGCGTATCAGGAATGAATTCTATGTCAATGTCGCCCATTTTACTAGAAACTTAGGTCACTTTTCTCAAATACGTCGATACAAATGAACTCGAAACAGTTCCCGATCTACCCAGGACAGCAAAGACTTGTCAGCGCCTTTGAAAAAATTGCATCACAGACATTTCCATTTGATCGCTGGTCAAATGAAAAATCTGTGATAGCGAATTCAAAGGCAATTAGAAAGAAATAATTCTTGCTGCTTCGTACAACTTCAAGCAACTTGTAAGGTCGTTTACACGATCACATTCTGTGACCTGAATATGATCATGTAAACCGGACTTAAGTTACCATTCTCTAGTCAGCGAAAAAAAATACGCCTTGATGGTATCCAAAGCACAATCGGTCAATAACTGTTTCAATTCTTCCAATACATCCATACTTGCAATGGGTTCTTGTTAAATTATTCTCTAATCAAGCACAAACACATCATTACCAAGCACTGCCACTGCCACAGCCACTGTAGTCTGGAGTGGAGTGTTGATTCTTGATCACGTGAAGCTTTCTAAAAATCGTGCCTGAATGCAGGACGTGGCGCAGCCTCTTATAACTCTCCTGGGTATTAAGTTCAATGAAGGAGAATTTGGTTTTTCATAGCAGAAGATCTAACAATGTTTTGCAAAGGCAAAACGGAGTAAAATATAGCAAATACGACGATGGTGTAGAAATAAATACCTTAGATACATAATAAAAAGATGTATGCTTATCTTGAATCTTAAACCTGAGCACATTCATTACTTTTAGCATTTTAATTAGAAACTGGTAAAATCTAACATTCTTAATTGAGAATGTTGAGAATTTCTCGATCCGCTCCTGCATGTCATATGTATGGAAGACAGCAGACTTCCAAAAGCTGTGTTCTATGGAGAATTGAAAGGAGGTTCAAGGAGGGTTGGAGTGCTACGATTGCGCTACAAAGAGGTATTTAAGAGACATCTGAAGAATACCAACAAGTATGAAGACTGGAGAGGAAAGGTCAATAACCGTGGGACCTGAAGAAAGGTGGTGGCCGGCACTGCTGGTGCCATCAGGAGAAGAGACATGCAACTATGGACCAACAAGAGGCTACGCAAGCTGGAACCAGAACCACCACCTACTGAGACGGCCTACAAATGTGAAACTTGCAACAGGACCTTCAAGGCAGCAATTGGGCTGTCATCTCATTTGCGGCATGGGCACTAGCTCCTCCCCACGTCATCTTCATTATCGATGGACTGCTAAAGAAGAAGAAAAGAAGAAGCCTGGTTTCACAAGAAAAAACTATAACAATCGTAAGGTAAACGGAAAAACTGAGGGAAAAAATAAAACAACCATAGTTAAAAAGGATGTATTTCCGGATTTGTCCATGGCTTATTTTTGCAACAAAATATTTAGTACGGATGGCAATGTTGGAAAGTTTAGAAATGAGATAAAGTTTTTGTTGCTGATCGATAGAGAAAGAGTCACACATTTTGAAGAATGGATTGCAGGAATTGCCGAAGATGCCAAGAGAGGTCATAGAAAGATTAACAAAGGAGACACATTTGAACTGCCGCTGTAAAGCAGATATAAGAGGAGTAAACTTGCTGGGTTTTCTTGTAGCATTTGTGTCATTATTGGATTCGAAGCCAACAGTTGGCTCTAAAATGTAGAGGTAATTGTTGTTAGTTCTCAAGAGAAGATCAGGGTAAAGGTTTTCTCCAGGTATATCAGCGTAGATGGTAAATTTTTTTGACAGCTTTTAGTGACGTAGCTAGAAAGTTAGGATAGAGTCGCCAGGTGTATCGGCCTTGTTCCAGATATGTTTTGCAGCCAGCAACAACGTGAAGGAGGGTTTCTTGCAGAAAACAGACGGAACAGTCAGAGGTCTGGCTCAAGTTCTGTTTTTTCAGGTTTTTCTGGGTGGCAAGGGTATTGTTCAGATACCTTATGGTGAAATTGAAAACATTCTGAGGCATGCTACTTTGCACCTTGGACCAAAGTTTATTTGTCCTTGGAAGATTCTGTTTAAAGAGATGTGATAATAAAGATCCTTGGGGGGGGGGTGGTTTAGGATGTTTTGCAGACGAACTTTATGCTCATGCTGGACAGCCTTTAATGCTTCTTTGGTGTTCCTATATATATCATATTGTATATTTGTGCTACTGCTGGTATTTTTAATAATAATAATAATAAATTGTCCTGATATGCCTTTATGTAGCATGTGCGGTGACCAGGGAGGAACAGTTAGTCATCTGGTGAGCGAATGTGCTAAACTGGCACAAACAGTATATGTCAAAAGAGAAATCTTTCAAGGGGACAGTTTATCACAAGTGTTATTTGTAGTGAGTATGATCCCAATGACGATAGTACTGAGGAAAGTTTAAGCAGGGTAAGATTGGGGAAAGAAGCAATTCAGTCTGAATCATTTGCTCTTCATGGATGACTTAAAGCTCTATGCCAAAAATGTAGAACAGATCAATTCGTTAGTGCGGACAGTACATATATTCAGTACTGATATTGGAATGGAATTTGGGATTAAGAAGTGTGGTGTTCTTATATTGAAGAGAGGGAAAATCATTAGAAGTAAAGGAACAGAACTCCCAAATGGTGATAAACTTAAGGAAGTAAGAGAGGAAGGCTACATATACCTAGGTATAGTTGAGCTTGACAAGATTAAAGAAGAGGAGATGAAGGGCAAGATAATAAAGGAGTATAAACGAAAGTTAAGCTTAATCCTGAAATCAAAACTTAATGGTAAAAACAAAGTAATAGCGATTAACACATGGGAAGTGGCAATATTTAAATACAGTGCTGGAATATTGGAGTGGAAAAGCAGCGAACTAAAAAAGATTGACAGAAAATCGAGGAAAACCATGACTATATACGGAGCCTTTCACCCCAAAAGTGACGTTGACAGACTGAACATGAAGAGAAAAGAAGGGGGTAGAGGACTGAGCAATATGGAGCTGGTAGTTAAGAGAGAAGAGAAAAATTTAGGTCAGTATGTTCTGAATTCCAGAGAGCAGTTGCTTAGAGGAGTTTGTTTTGAAGGGACAATTCGCACTGATAGTACCATGCCAAACAAAGAGTTTAAAAAGAAAGTGGCTAATGATCTTGAAAATAATTGGATGGGAAAGAATATGTATAGTCAGTTTGTAAGGGAAATGCCAGAAAATGTCGATAAGAAGAAAACGTGGCAGTGTCTATCAAAAAGTGACTTACAAGTCCAGACAAAGGCTTTATTGTGTGCTGCCCAAGAACAGGCAATTAGGACCAATTACGTGAAGCATCATATTGACAAAAGTGTGGATAGTCCTCTCTGCAGGATCTGTGGAGAAAGAGGAGAAACTGTCCAGCATATCGTTCCTGAAGTTGCTGTAGAAAATGATAGTGTAAAAATACCGTGGGATATCAACATACAATGTGACAATGTTATTGAGGCAAGAAGACCAGACATTGTCCTAGTTGATAAAAGCCACAGAATTTGCACCATCATTGATATAGCAGTACCAGCGAATGTCAGGGTGGCTGAGAAGGAAAGAGAAACGATTGGAAAATACCATGACCTGAAAAGAGAAGTTACACGGTTATGGAGCATGAGAAAGGTTCAAGTTATACCGGTAGTTATAGGAGCCCTAGGGAGTATCTCAAAAGAGTTTGAAAAATGGACAGAAAGTCTCAAAATTCCGTGGATTACAATTGAAATGCAGAAAACTGCCTTGTTAGGAACGGCTACAATTCTAAGAAGAGTCTTAGACATGTGAATAAAGAATAAAGATAAAAGACCTCATTGTTAGGCCTTGGTTGCTGGTTATGACTTGTCTAGCAGGAGTAAACGGCAATAAGATCAGCCAGACCACAAAGGTTAAAGAAATATAATAATAATGATAATAATAATGAAAACATTTTTTTATCTTATATTCTTCTACTTAAAACAGTAACCTCACTTTACAGGTAGTTACTATCGGCTAGCCTGGTGACAAGTCTACTAATTTGACAAAAGTTATAACATTTAAATAAAATCATATGAGTGCAAAAAATCTTTAGAAGGAGAGCAGGTCAGGGCTTCTCCAAGTCTTATTGCGCATACAGAATATATAATAGGATGTGTGTATAATTATAGCTGACAGTTTTTTAATTATAAAATTATGGTGTTGGTAGTCAAGTTTTAGTTCGTCACACATATCGATGAAAGAATCACAGGAGTTACCAAAGATACAGAGACAGCTGATAGATAGATTAACAAAGTTTACTTTTTTGCACTTAGGGCGTAGTTCCTTGAGAAGGGAAGGGTACTTCTCAGCTTTACGCGAAGCGTTATTATCTAGTCTCGAACCCAACAGTTAATTCGATGACATACAGACACTTAGAAGCAGTTTTGATTAGCATGTTGGGACGGAATAAATCGCCAGTTATGATACATGCTGATAAATAAGCAGGAATGTCTGCATATATGAATACATCTCGGATACAATGAAATGATGATGCAATGAAGTGCAGGGCAGAGTCGTGCCTCCAAGTAAAACGCCCTTGCTCAAGGTAATTGTTACATCTAGCTACGACATGAAGAAGTGATTCAGGCTGAAGGCAGAATGAGCAATCTGGGGAAGAGCTAATTTTCCATAAGCAGAGGTTGTTCCTTGTGGCTAGTGTGTTGTTGAGATACCTTATCGTAAAGTTGAAGATGTTTTTTGGAAGTTTACTTTGAGCTGCAGACCAGAGTGAGGTTAACTTTGTATAGGAATGCTCGAGAAGGAATGAAATGAAGAATCCTTGAGATGTTAACTGAGTTTTAAGCTTTTCAGTGTGTAGATCCCTTACACATTTCAGTACCGCCTTAGTGTTCTTGTATGCGTTGAACTGTATATTAGGTTCATAATTGGTGTTCATCCATAGGGATTTGACTGAGTTTCGAAGAACAATCTGGCACTGTTGAAACTTTACTGAAGGAAGCAGAAGCTAAAGACCAAAGTGTTTACGAGAAAGAACTATGCCACTCAGTGTCGAAGATATTGGAAGCTTGAGCCACTGTCGAATAAATTTTGTGACAAGCTGATCTAAGTTTTCACAAACCCACGTTTTGAAGAGATTAGCAACTGTGAGATCCAAAGAGAGCTATGATAGGATGTATTGATTAAACAGTAGAATTTTGTTCCGGGATGAATTTTCAAAGAATCAATAACTTTGAGCATCTCACGAAGAGAAGAGGTCAAGTGATCTTTGTGTTCTGGTTCTTCATATCATAATTGAAGAAACGACCCAGGTATTTGAAAGATTCGCCGTGTTTCACAAAACTTTTTTGTTTCAAAGGTGATTCACTTGTCTACGCGGATGATCATATTTGCCCATTGGCACCATCTTGTAGAACAGTTTAGCAATAATTGATTTTGGCGTTCATCACTTGTGACTGCAGCATCATCAGCGAATTGGAACCAGTAAACCGGGTTAAACAAGCGATCATTGCCGTCATAAGGAGAAAATCTAAGTTTATATTTGTCTTGTTTTACCAGCTGAATAAATATGTTAAAACATAAATTGAAAATGAGAGTTATAACAATAATAATAATAATAATAATAATAAGTGTAGGTCTCTTGCCTGACAGGTGTACCATGGTCCAGCAGCATGGTCCCGGTCTTCATCCAGCTAGTGCTAGGAGGACCCGACAAAAATGGTCTCACAAAGAGAATAGAGTTGTATTAGAGTGCTTTTGAAAAGCAACCCAAAAAAATTGGTTATTGAAAGAGAATACATAACCAGAGGCGGATCTAGGGGGGTGCTATGGGTACTTGAGCACCGGTCAGAATTTTCGAAGATATAACATTCAATGCATTTTCTCTAATCTCTAAAAAACGTCTTGAATCCTTTTAGATGATGTAAATGCATTTTCTAGTAAACTGATGACATACGGTCATGCGTTAGTTAGCATAACCTGTACCTGCTTTAAACTATAAATAGCTAGAAATTTCATGTTGAGCTGCCCTGGAACCAATTTTTTTACTTGTCTATCAAACCAGACTCTCGGCCAATGAGCTACTTCAATTCTACGGGTGCTTGAGCACCCCTATCAATCAACCTCTAAGGTCAAAGTTGCAATTGAGCCAATCACATCATGCTCTGATATGTTTTTCCGCATTGTCGAGCAACCCTATCAATCAAAACAAGGCTTCAACCAATCCGTTTGCCAAATTTTGGCTCATCTTAGCACCCCTATCAATCATTTAATATACACTGGTGCATACCGTCACTGAAACGACTAAACCTGTTCGTCTAGCAGCAATGGCAGACATAAAGTCGTTGCTGTTGCAGGTGTTCTCGATTATTGGTTGCCAGTCGACTGAAGAAACTGAAACGGAAAACAAGCTTTTGAGTATTCAGTCAATCGTGAGAAAAGTTTTTGATAAGAGCGTGGTGGATGGTGTTGTGACTTGTGGGAATACACAAATTGATGAGTTCGCTGAACTGCAAATGCCAAAGGTTCAAGTACTGTCCCGTGGAAGTTCTGACCTTCGGCCTTTCAGGTTGGTAGTTTCCTTTACCAGGCTTTGAATGCAAAGCGTTTTAATAGAATATTTCTTGGATTAATTCGACAAAAATATCAAATTTTACAGAGAAAAATGCGCACCCCCAAAAAAGTGGTGCCAAGGATTTTTTGTTGTTGGAGTGGTATGGTATTTACTACCAGAATGAATTCGATACCCATTTCTTGCCAAATGCAAATGACCCCCAAAACGTACTACTTCAACACAAGGTACTTAGTAAAACAATCAATTTTTATCAACAAATTCTTACAAGTATTGATTTAAAGGCATTGAGTCATGGTAAATAGGCCTTCTCTATAGGGGGTCATTTGGATTTGGCGTGATCGCTGCTGTTTCATGTGATACTTGCACCCCTTGTTGACAACTTGCTATTGATGGAAATTGTTTTGTCCATCAGTACGAGGTGAGTTCAGGTGACCTGTTCAAGGTCAACCAACCATTTCATGAAAATAATGACTCAGCGGATTCTGGCACTTAGGGTATACCCAATCCATTTTATCATGACTCAATGATATTTACCTAAATTTTTCTAAAAACAATAAAAACACGTAAATCAGTAAAGACTAATATTTCGCCCTGGCATACAGGGCTTCGTCAGAGCCCGGAGTGCTCTGATGAATAGAGTGCTCTGATGAAGCCTGTATGCCAGGGCGAAATATTAGTCTTTACTGATTTACCTGTTTTTATTGTTGTTTATTCTCGGCGTATTGCGGTGTTTCATATTTGCTACATGTTTGTTATAACAGAGCAGAGACTTGTCGATCAAAAGTCTCAAATAATAAAGAAGAAATGGCTATCTGAATTAGAGCTTGAAGCCATAAGAAGTAGCTATAATAATATGGTCAAGTAGGAAATGTTAAAGAAGGTGTTATAGGGAGAACAATGGAAGATGACAAAGAAAATCAACAAATGGACGGAACAGCAAATAACAATGTAGCCAATATGTAACTTCAAAGCAAATCTGCTACAGAGGAGGGTATGAACTAATAAGAAATGAACCCAGAAACCACAAAGCAAACACAACACTGGCGTTCTTTCAATCTTGATAATTGTTCGCTAAACAAACGAGATTACAAAATAGTTGATAAATGTACACATAATTAATTAACGAGTTCTAGATGTAAGGCAACTAAATGAAAAAATAACAATGTGAAGAGAAAGCAACATGAACAGTAACAGATTAACCGAAATTAATTTCAACTTACTATTTGTTTGACCTCATAGCATTATCTAAGCAATAGGCTTATCCACAGGTAAATACTACGCCGAAAATGGTTTCTTCTTTTGCTTGCAACTCGTTCTGAACTACTATCAATGCTGTTCTCTTTCTGTCAATGCTTTTATAGGGCTACAATTACAAAACCTTGAAGAGACTCTTATCACGAGAAGAAATATCTTGTGTCCCCGAGGACATGCCTAAACAATGCTAAACATATCTAATCATGGCAGGGTCAAAAAACCAAAATAGCTCTACGTAAACAACAGCAAATAATATAAAAACAATCTGTTTTCTACAATAGACAAGGAGATGAATGTATAGGAGTATATAAATGACATATATCCGGATAATATGAGACAAGCCTAACTGAGGAAGAGAAGCTACTTATGGAAAAGATAAAAGATTTTGGCAGACTACAGAAAGAAAGATTACCACCGTAGATGGGAGTTGACAGTAAGAAGTTAAAGGAAGTGGTTAGTAAGGTTAATGTGCTGTTGGGAAAGATGGAGGTGAAAGATATAACTCATGTGAATGATCTGATGTACGGAAGAGCAGCTTTGGCAACTGAAATGGTGGGAATGCGTAAAAAAGATAAAGAATGAAAGAGCTATGATGGAGGAGAAAATTAGAGGACCAAGTAAGACAACTGAATAAAGATCTTAGCAGGATTGACAACTTGATTCGAAAAAAATAGCAGTGAAAACAGGAAAGATAAAGAGATACCAACAACGAATAAATGAGTTTCAACAAAACAGATTATTTGGCAACAACGAGGGTAGATTTTATCAAAACTTTAATGCAGAAAATGAATACCAACACAAGGAAGCTCCTGAAGTGAATGATGCTATAAATTTCGAGCCAGACATTTGGGGGAAAGATGCTCATCACAATAAAGAAGCAGAATGGTTAGAAAACTTTCACTGTGAAGTTAGAGATATTTGGCCAGCAAAGTCGTTTAACAACAACAAACAAGGAAGTCAAAGCACTGTCAAAAAAGTTCCCCAA